CTCTCTCTCTCTCTCTCTCTCTCTCTCTCTCTCTCTCTCTCTCTCTCTCTCTCTCTCTCTCTCTCTCTCTCTCTCTCTCTCTCTCTCTCATCAACTCTGAAGCACTGCTTTTCTTTCCCGTCCGATGTGCACTGTGCAGATGACAACACAAGAGATAAACACTTGCCTCGTCACTGCTCAAAGGCAGTGTGCCATACACCCAGACAAAGATAAAATCCTTCTTAAACCCCTATGGCTTTCCCTGGTGAGGCCATCCGAAGGTGATGAGACATGCAATCCACTTTAGCTTCCCATGAGTGAACATTGACATTCATCCACCTCCATGATGCCCTTCCGATGTCCAGTAATGTCTTTTATGCTATGGTCACCCTTAAGAGTCCTACCATGTGCTTTTACGTGATGTATATGATGCCCACTCCATTGCAGGGACCCAGACCCCCAAAAGCGGCACAGAAACAAATTCCCCAACCTTTTGAGTTCGGTCTAGGGTTCAACAAGGCTCTGTAGGGCCCATACATATACTCGACCAGAAAAGTCCATAGCCCCATAGAATTGGGGTTTATTATCTTAGCAACTTAGCACCCGGCCTTAGGGTCTTAGCAACTTAGCACCTGGCCTTAGGGTCGGGTAAGGTCTATGGGGGCCAACAAACCTGTCTGAAAAAGTCTTCAGACCGGTGGAACTGGGGTCACGTAGGCCTTCCGGACACAGAGGGCCAGCAAACGAGTTCTCGGGACCTGGGTAAACAAGCTGTTGGGTACTACCCGGTGTCCGAAGCCAAAGAGTGGAGGATTTCTTGAAAAAGCAATTTTAGCTACAGTTCACACACATCCAAGGGCCCAGGTAAAGTTTACGGGTGAATCCATATATTGGCCTCAGACAGCGGCCGCATCCGAGCCGCTCACGACATTCATCTTAAATGTCCCTTGGGGCCCAGCCAGGACAGACGAAGCGAATATAGTATTGGTGTTCCATGTTGCAAAGGACTGGTTTTCCTTGCGCTCGAGCTGTGCATGGGGTACTGCCTTGCTGCCACCAGTGAAGGGAGAGAGAGTCTGGGTGGGCAGGCATAGATAGATGTAGCTCAGCAGCCATAGCCAGTGGGAGTGAGGTAGAAGGAGAAGGCGGGAGTGGGGGGCGGATCACATGAGAGATAGGAGGTGCGTTGGGAGAAGAAGCCTACCTGGTGACTGGCGGNATGAAGAAGAAGAAGACTCCGTGAAGCTGGTAGCCATATCCACATGAAGAAGAAGGCTCCCCAAAGCTTCCCTAGACCAGCATTCTTCACCTAAGGTTTATCCTGTGGTAGACAAGGGTGGGTGATCAAGGGGGAAGGAGACAGATAGCGACTGAAGGGGTCATGAGGTGGAAGCCACCGTAGCCAGTGTGTAGTAAGCTGGCGTTGAAGAAAACCCAAAAGGGGGTTCTCCAAACTTGCAAGTTTTCTGGGTTCTCCATCCAATGCTCAATGTAGCTGGACTGGGCCTCACTGACAGGGTGGTCGCCTGGCGAGAGAAGACCACTGTTCGAGTGATGAAGAGGTGGTAGAGTATCCTGTGGGAGTGCCGAGAAGAGGTCGTAGCCGCGGGTTGTTTGATCTGAGGTCGTGAGAGGAGGAGAGTTAGACTCGGACGCTGGAGGAGAAGTGGAGTACGAGACTGGAGGACATCAAAACTCCTCTACATACTGTGTTCCTGATTGTTCATGTTCATTCTCTTCTGGTGTCAACACGCTGTCATTTGCTGTCTATTTGACTGATTGGTTTGGAAAATTTTGAATCAAGGTGATTGACGTTGTTTTATGCTTCATTGAAGCTTCTCTTGAGTTTAGGGTTGCATTGACCATAGCCACCAGGATTCCTCCACAGCTGGAACTTTCCTCCGCAACCAGAAGGCTTCTCTCCACACTCTGGTGTTGCTTCAGAAAATTGTGAAGACTCCAGAAATTTTTGGAGCTTACTTTCCATGGGCAGCGGTACGACACCTTTCTGTCCAGAGTCAAAGAGAGATACCTGTTCTTTTCTTGTCTTGATTGGGAGGCAGGCCTTTTCCCTAACATTCTTTCGGGGGCGAGCATACTGGCTTCCACATGGGTCTGCAAAATACCAGCTTTGGTACCATGTCAACCTAGCTTACATACAGTTTAAATAAGGGCCCTGTTCTTGGGTCCTTGCTGCGTCGGAGCTCGAACTTTGCAGGTATGTCCCTGTGAGGACTTTTCATGCCTGTCCAGCTGTTGCCAAGTTACAAAACTACCCATTCCAGTCCAGCATTTTGCAGGTAAGGCCTCCTCTAAGATTACGACTCCATCAAGCCCATCCCTAAGGTAGTACCCACCCATGTACCAGCACTAGAGCATGTGAAAAGTGAAAATTGGTCGGGCATTCACAGAGAACCACAGAAAAGACAGGATTCTTGGATAAAACTCAGGAAAAACAGTCTTTTCAGCAGTGCTGGGCCCCTGATGGACCAGGGACCCCTCCCCGGACCGGGAGCCTCCTGCTTGGTCCGGGCGGTCGGCCGCACCGGTCGACTCCTGGTCGCCCCCAGCGCATTTTGGCTGGGGGCAGAACTCGGGCAGGAAAGGGGCTTGGCTTCCTCCAACGGCCTTGCGGACGCCACTACCGCTGGAGAAAATTATAGGGGGGGGCAATAGTCCCCTCTACAGATCTTTGATAGAGAGCCGGATTTCTTCTTGAACTACCACAGAGGAATCGATTTAGTATTGTGTGGTGCGATGGACCACGGACCAGATAATACTGACCAGACCGGATACTCAACCTGTCTCAGCCAAAAGGCTGAAAATATATGTTTGTGTGAAGGCTTTGCCGAGATTATATGCTTCTCCCACGTCCCTACGCTCTAGAAAAAGCAAGCTATAGGTTCAGGTTTCGGCTCCTGAAGTCGGAGCACCAACGTTGTCCAAGGTGCAAGCCCAGGAATGGACCCCGCTCCATTACATGTATCCGGACAGACTACCAGGACAGATACTTTCAGACTGATGACCCACCGTATAACGGAAACCGCTCTGACTACACGAGCTGAAACCGGAACCCATAACTTTCTTGTGGAGCGTGGCGCTCTGGAAGGAGTGTAAAACTGTGGCGAAGCACTGGTGAAACACACATTTCTTTCGGCCTTTGGGTTATTGCGTAACTCGAGACTCGTCAGAAAAATCTGCATGAGTTATCTCGTAACCTCTCCCAAGTCTTGAACATAATGACGGAACTGTGTCTGTTGAATGCTACGTGCAGTATGTTCTCATCCGGATTCTTCTTTGCATGTCGTGGTGACCATGGTGATGATTTTCTCCTCACGACCCCGAACGTACTTGATACAGTCGGATAATTTGATGTGGTCTCATCTTGGCAGCATGCACAATGATTCCATGCTATGGCAGTGCTTTGGTTCATGTCAACCTTTTTTTTTTTTTTTTTTTTTTTTTTGGTTCGTGTCGACCTGCTGGTTGTGCAGCCTGCAATTCCTGTGGAATCTGTGGATTCATCTTGTGGCATGTTTCCGTCCAACATTGTCACGATGTATTGCCTATAAGCTTTTGTTGCGAGCTTGAATTGCTGATCATGCGCCTGTTCCCTTGTGTTCTGATGCTGATGGATGGGCCATTTGAAAGGGTTCATGAATCTCAGTCCCGAGTCCCAGGTACCAATCCTGAATCCCAGGACACAGTCCCAAGTCCCGTTCCGTGTTCCATTACTGGTTCCAGCCACTTGTACAATATTCAAGAAGACTCCAGGAGTGTAGTTTCCGTTCGTATCATGATTATCGATACCTAAGCAGGTTAGTTAAGTAGATCATCGTGGGAAGTTTGTGCGAGGTCATAGCTATGGGGGTTAAAGAGTATTTTTTAGAAGGTAGCACGAGCCTCAGCAAAGATCAGAAGGCCGTTAGGCCAGGTGTCAGCCAGTCCGAGCAAGCAGCCAGGTCCAAGGAGAATCCATAAGCCTCAAGAAGCAGCGAACAAGCAAAGGGGAGCCAACCCATAACTGGCAGAAGCTTCCTGAAAAGCAAACCAGCAAGTATAAAAGTTCAGCAGTACCTGGACGCCAACACTTGTGTCGGGCACTCAATGTGGAAGCGCTGCTGTGGTCTTTTGCGTTGGAGAGGCGACCAAGTCAGTGAGAGTGAGCATAGTGCCCTGTAGTCAACGGCACCGGGTGCCATAGTCATAATTGTAGTGTGAGAGAGAGGAAGACATTCTGAGAGATGAGTCAGGACTGTGAGGTGAGGCCGAGAGCAGAGAGAGAGAGAGAGAGAGAGAGAGAGAGAGAGAGAGAGAGAGAGAGAGAGAGAGAGAGAGAGAGAGAGAGAG